CTGCACCAGTTAACACAAAGGAAAAACATGACTGCTACTGCAGAACCCAGGACAGAACTTCACCGCTGAACAAGTGCCAATCACGACCACAACAGTGCACCGGCGGCAATATCGCACCAACCAAGACTCCCTGATTCCCATCCATCAGCTGATCCGTAGACTGGAGAGCCAAGGAGTGATCAGAGGACCCGCTCGCCTTTTAATAGCCCCATATGGCCAGTGCAAAAGCCTAACGGAGAGTGGAGACTAACAGTAGACTATTGTGGCCTGAATGAAGTCGTAACCACCGTTGAGTGCTGCCATATCAGACATGCTAGAATTTCATTATGAACAGGAGTCAAAGGCAGCCAAGTGGTATGCCACAATTGATATTGCCAATGCATTTTTCTCAATTCCTTTGAGTGCAGAGTGCAGGCCACAGTTCAGTTTTACTTGGAGGGGCATCCAATACATGTGGAACTGACTGCCCCAGGGGTGGAAACACGGCCTTACCATCTGCCATGGACTGATCCAGACTGCAGTGGAACAGGGGCAAGCTCCAGAACACCGGCAATAGAATCATAGAATCATAGAATAGTTAGGGTTGGAAAGGACCTTAAGATCATCACCTTGGGCAGGGACACCTCACACTAAACCATCTCACCCAAGTCTTCGTCCAACCTGGCCTTGAACACTGTCAGGGATGGAGCATTCACAACCTCCCTGGGCAACCCATTCCAGTGCCTCATCACCCTCACAGGAAAGAATTTCCTCCTTAGATCCAATCTAAACTTCCCCTGTTTAAGTTTTAACCCGTTACCCCTTGTCCTGTCACTACAGTCTCTAATGATGAGTCCCTCCCCAGCATCCCTATAGGCCCCCTTCAGATACTGGAAGGCTGCTATGAAGTCTCCACGCAGCCTTCTCTTCTTCAGGCTGAACAGCCCCAACTTTCTCATGTGGGGTGATACAGTGGAAGACGTTTTTGAGAAAGGGAGGAAAATAATCCAAATCCTGCTGAAAGCCGGATTTGCCATAAAATGGAGTAAGGTCAAGGGACCTGCACAGGAGATTCAATTTTTGGGAATAAAATGGCAAGATGGATGTAGACAGATCCCCACAGATGTGATCAACAAGATAACAGCAATGTCTCCACCAACTAATAAGAAAGAAACGCAAGCTTTCTTGGGTGCTGTGGGGTTCTGGAGAATGCACATCCCAAATTGCAGTTCGATTGTAAGCCCTCTCTATCATGTGACCCAGAAGAAAAATGATTTTAAATGGGGCCCTGAGCAACAGCAAGCCTTTGAGCAAATTAAACGCGAGACAGTTCATGCAGTAGCCCTTGGACCTTTCCAGACTGAGCCAGATGTAAAAAATGTGCTTTTCACAGCAGCCAGCGAGGATGATCCTACCTGGAGCCTCTGGCAGAAAGGTCCAGGGGAGACTCGAGGTTGGACCCCTTGGCTTTTGGAGTTGGGGATATAAAGGATCTGAGGCCAGCTATACCCCAACTGAGAAAGAGAAACTGGTAGCCTATGAAGGGGTTCGAGCTGCTTCGGAAGTGATTGGCACTGAAGCACAGCTCCTCCTGGCACCCCTGCTGCCCGTGCTGGGCTGGATGTTCAAAGGCAGGGTCTCCTCTACACATCATGCAACTGATGCTACATGGAGTAAATGGGCTGCACTAATTACACAACAAACTCAAATAGGAAATCTCAGTCATCCAGGAATTCTAGAAGTCATCATGGACTGCCCAGAGGGCAAAGATTTCAGAATGTCACCAAAGGAGGAAGTGTTGCGTGCTGAAGAGGCCCCACCATATAATCATCTGTCAGAAAGTGAAAAGCAATATGCCTTGTTTACTGATGGGTCCTGCCGTATTGTGGGAAACCATCGGAGATGGAAGGCAGCTATATGGAGTCCTCAACAACAAGCTGCAGAAACTGCTGAAGGAGAGGGTGAGTCGAGTCAGTTTGTCAAGGTGAAAGCCATCCAGCTGGCCCTGGACATTGCTGAACGAGAAAAGTGGCCAGTACTTTATCTCTACACTGACTCATGGATGGTGGCAAATGCCCTGTGGGGGTGGTTGAAGCAATGGAAGCAGAGCGGCTGGCAACACAGAGGTAAACCCATCTCGTCTGTGCAGTGTGGCAAGATATTGCTGCCCGGGTGCAGAACCTGGTGGTGAAGGTACGTCATGTAGATGCCCATATCCCCAAGAGTCAGCCCACTGAGGAACACCAGACCAACCAACAAGTGGATAAAGCTGTTAATATTGAAGTGGCTCAGATGGGCTTAGATTGGCAACACAAGGGTGAATTATTTTTGGCCCGGTGGGCCCATGACACTTCAGGCCATCAGGGCAGAGATGCAACATATAGATGGGCCCGTGATCGAGGGGTGGACTTAACAATGGACACTATTGCCCAGGTTATTAATGAGTGTGAAGCATGTGCTCCAATTAAACAAGCCAAGTGGTTAAAGCCTCTTTCGTATGGAGGACGATGGTTGAAGTATAAATATGGGGAGGCCTGGCAGATTGACTATATCATACTGCCCCCAACCCGCCAAGGCAAGCGCATGGTGGAAGCAACCACTGGATGGCTGGAAACATACGTTGTGCCCCACGCCATTGTCCGGAACACTATCCTGGGCCTTGAGAAACATATTTTGTGGCAACACAGCAACCCAGAGAGAATTGAGTGAGACAATGGGACTCATTTCAAGAATAACCTTATAGATATTTGGGCCAAAGAGCATGGCATTGAGTGGGTATATCACATCCCCCACCATGCTCCAGCCTCTGGGAAAATCAAACGGTACAATGGGCTGTTAAAAACTACACTGAGAGCAATGGGTGGTGTGTGAGTTACATCAGAGTGATTCATGTCAGCAACTCAGGGGTCCTAGTGATCATTGCACTTTGTGTGGAGATGGAATCCCTTGTGATCACTGTGCTATGTGCAAAGGCTATGATGTGTCCCACAGTGAGGGGGAAGAAGAAACAAGGGAATAATTCCCCTGGGTCAACCACAACATTGTGCAGAGAAACGTTTTGTTCATTGTTTAAATTGCATGAATGTTCTGGGGGGGGAGGGGGGGGAGGTAACTTAGAGGTATGTCCTGTTACAGAATGTTGTGAAATCTGTTTGCTGAATAAATAAACACATAAGGAGTGGAATTTATGGGGGCTAAGATGGCAGTCAGACTTGTGATAGACATAATATTTCTTCACCCGGAGACAAGACCCTAAGAACAGGTGGAGAAGCCCGGGAAAAGAAGACAACAGGATTGGCTGAAACCCAAGAAGCCCGGGAAACCAAAAAGTATAAGAGACTATCCCTAGAAGTTCCCCTTGTGCGTCTCGGACAGAGCGGAGACTCCCCAGCGCACCCAGCGCTGCTTGCTTATTGTCTCTCGATATTAATTATAATGAAAATCAATTAAAACAGATTGGGTAGATTTTTGTAACATGGTGGAACTTTCAAACACTGGGATACACATTTACCAAAGGCCACTTGGTTGGTCAACATCAGAGGATCTGCCAACAGCACTGGTCCAGCCCCATCAGAACTTTTACATACTGTAGAAGGGGATAAAGTGACCTGTGGTGCACATAAGGAATTTGCTGGGGAAGACAGTCTGGGTTATTCCTGCTTCAGGTAAAGGCAAACCCACTCGTGGGATTGCTTTTGCTCAGGGACCCGGATATACTTGGTGGGTAATGTGGGAAGCTAGGGAAGTCCGATGTGTACCTCAAGGGGATTTGATTTTAGGGGAAAACAGCCAATGAACTCAACTGTATGCTGTTTGCCTGCTATGTAGCACTTTTGTGGCCCACCAGCTAGATGTCTTCACGTCACCAGTGACTGGCCCTAACTTCCCTCGACCATCATCCCAACAAAGAATGATGAAACCAGAGGAGCTCAGCAGTGACCAGACAAGTTCTGCGATGTCATCAGCAGGCAACAATCCCACACTGCACACTGTCTCTCCTGCTCTGAAAGACTGTTACAAGAGACGGAGCCTGACATCATGAACCAGATGAACTCAGCAGCTTTATAGGGATTGGTCCATGCACTAGGGAATATCTCTCTCTTTGTGTCTGCGTGGATGTGTATATATATATATGTATATATGTATATATATGTATATGAGACAAGAGTGATTTATGGTATATTGAAAAATGTGGGATCTGAGCATGACGTGAATGGTATGGAATAAGGGGTGGATACTGTCCTGGGTTCAACAGTAGCAGTCATTTTTCTCCTCCTTAGTAGCTGGTGCAGTGCTGTGGTTTTTTTACTTTCAGCCTGGGACCAACGCTGATAACACCGATGTTTTTAGTTGTTGTTAAATAATGTTTACTCTGACCAAGGGCTTTCTGAGTCTCATGTTCTGCCAGGGAGGAGGGGAAGCGGGGAGGAAGCAGAGACAGGACACCTGACCCAAACTAGCCAAAGGGGTATTCCATACCACAGCACGTCATGTCCAGTATAGAAACCGGGGGGAGTTACCCAGAAGGCCCACATCACTGCTCAGGTCGGGCTGGGTATTGGCTGGCAGATGGTGAGCGGTTGTATTCTCTTCCCTTGTTATTTCCCTTATCATTATTATTATTGGTGGCAGCAGTAGTGGTTTGTGTTATACCTTAGTTACTGGGCTGCTCTTATCTCAGCCCATGGGAGTTACATTCTTTCAGTTCTCCCCATGCCTCCGGGAGTTGGGGGAGGGAGGGGCCGCGGTGGGGGGAGTGAGTGGATGTGTGGTTCTGAGTTACCAGCTGGGCTTAAACCATGACAAAAAAAAAAGCCCTAAAGATGTACTATTACATGTGCATGGTCACTGTTAAGATACCCATTCTCTTTTCTCACAGGAAAGAAGACTGTCATGACTTTACAGTGATAGGGCACTAGGAAAATAGAAATGAGGACATGGTTGGTGCTCCAAGAAAATCCAGACTTGTCTGAAATCCCTGCCTTAGAAGCTTCTGTGTCTAATGTGTTGCTCTTTTTCAGTCCATTAGCTTGATTGAAAGGGGGAATCCCTCCAGAAGCTTGGAGAACGTTTGCCGCTGGGCACATCAGCAGCAGAAGTCGGACCCCAACCACTCTGAGCACCACGATCATGCCATCTTCTTAACCAGGCAAGATTTTGGGCCTGCTGGTATGCAAGGTAATGCTGACCTGGAGCAGAACTGTCTGGGCTTGGTGTTTCTTGCCTAGCATCTGTCAGAAAAGAGGGAGATTTGACAGTTGTGTTATTACAGAATCATGACAGACTGGTCTGTGTTGGAAGGGACCTTAAAGCCCATCCCTGTGCCAGGGCCTCACCACCCTCACGGGGAGCAGCTTCTTCCTAATGTCTAATCTCAGTCTCCCCTTTGTCAGTTTAAAGCCATTTCCCTACAGGCCCTTTTCCAAAGCCCCTCTCCAGGTTTCTTGTAACCCCTTTAGGCACTGGGAGCTGCTCTAAGGTCTCCCTGAAGCCTTCTCTTCTCCAGGCTGAACAGACCCAGCTCTCTCAGCATATCACCAGAGCAGAGGTGCTCCAGCCCTTGCAGCATCTCCGTGGCCTCCTCTGGACTTGCTCCAACAGCTCCACGTCTCTCTTGTGTTGGGAGCATCAAAGCTGTTATGTGATCCTGAGGCAAAAAGCAATGTAGGCTTTTATTCAGCAAATACTTAAGTGTTCAATTTTAAAGATGTACTGAAGATTGATCTTGTTGGGGTGAGCAGATAGACTGATCATAACTTTCAGTTTCCTCATCTGGCTTTAGAAAAGGCTCTTGTTATTATTAGATATAATAAAAATAGCAACTATTATTATATAAAAAGCTACTTTACATTGTATAAAACCAGCTATTTACTGTCTCTAAACACCAGGTGTTTGTGTGTGTGTGTGTGCAGGGATCAGTAGGAACACTCCAAGCACTTTGCATTCAACTTTGCTTTTGTTTTGTTGTTTTGTTTTGTTTTGGCTGTAGATTTGTTTTTATAGACAGCACACCAGCTACTTGGTACCTGCATTAATCTTTATGACTCAAGAAAGAGGAAGTAAATTCACAGCATGTGATTTATATCAATGCAGATAAAGGAGAATCTGGATTAGACCATGTTTTGGCTGTCCAGTTGTGTTTGGTACTTCCGAGGTCCCTTTACCTTGCAGGGGAGATGAGGGTCTGAGTTCTCTTTTGAGTCCAGGCTTTGAAGTGAAACTGAGATGTCAGGCAGACTTCAGAAGGATTTTAGCCATTTACTCTGACAGCAATTGCAAAGGCAGAGAAAAAATAACCACCAAAAGAAAATAGTCCAGAAAATAGTCCTAGGTTCTTCTTACTTTGTAAGATTATGGGGGGGGGGTCTCGTTTACAGTAAATATAATGGGCAAAAGAATCAAATGTGACTTCTTTCAACAGGATATGCCCCTGTTACTGGCATGTGTCACCCGGTCCGAAGCTGTACCCTCAACCACGAGGATGGGTTTTCATCAGCTTTTGTTGTCGCTCATGAAACGGGTCATGTGTAAGTCTTAACTTTTACAGTTAGATTGCCAACAAAATCTGGTACTGCATCTCCTGCTTGCATCAGGTGGTTTAATTTTAATGTCCATATGAAAGGTATCCTGATTTTATCTCCATTCCCTTGGAATGCATAGGGATTTAAGGAATGAAGAGGTAGTCAGGAAAGAAAGGAAGAAGAAGAGAGAGGGGGAGTTTTGTTTTCTCAAGGGCGAGGCAAAGGTGGGTGAGGAATGTGGAAGGCCCAGGCAGTGGATTCAGAAGCTTATCCAGCATCCATAACTTCTTTCTTCTCATTGACTGAAAGTGCTAATTTGTCAGATTTGGCATCTCATCAGGAATGATAAAATGTGGGTAACTGGTTAAGCAAAGGTCTTTGATAGCTGTCTGAATGAATTAACGTCAGGGTACTGAGGATCTGATTTTTGTCTTCCTTAAGCAGCACAGGCTGCTTATTCAGTTCACTGCGGGGAATTTAGCCCCATCGGAGATGACCAGACCACTTGCATATTAACCTGTTTCAGGTTCACATTTGGAGATGAAACATGGTAACTGCATTAGCTCTTTGAAAATGCAAAAGGATAACTCTTAACCCTGTGTTTAATTAGGTGCTTTGGGTCAATGAATATACGAATGTGAACAATTCAGTGTCTGAATGAAGAGCTCCCTAATGAGCTGAATTGTTGCTTTTCTTTCTCTGAAGCATAAGAAGTCGTCATCATCATCATCATCTAGTGATTTCATTCCTGAATGAAATCACAAATACAACAAAGTATAACTTAAAGAGTACTGAGAGAATCCATATGTTTTGGTAACAGAGAAGATCAGTTTGAAATGCATGTGGTGTATGTAGAATGCAAAAAACAATTTCATTTTGCATGATTACTTGTGCATGAGAAACTGTTCTCTTCGCAGTTGTTTTATACATTGAAGAACAGGAACTGCCTGGGGTCTGATGGCTGATTCTTTGTTACAGGCTGGGAATGGAGCACGATGGGCAAGGGAACAGATGTGGGGATGAGACAGCCATGGGGAGTGTGATGGCTCCCTTGGTGCAGGCTGCCTTTCATCGTTACCACTGGTCCAGATGCAGCGGCCAAGAACTCAAAAGATACATACAGTAAGGACCTGACAGCACTTGGCGGTAGTTGTTTTCCTATAGGAAATCAAAGTCTTGGCAGTTCTGGGATGTGGAGCCAGTGTGCTGCCCTCTGCTAGCCAGCAGAGAGGAGAGGCCATCCCAGTGTGATGGAACAGGCACAAGCATCATAAAGGGAACCCTTGGCTGTGGGAGCTCCTTTTGATAAACACAGGGGTACTGAGGAATGGGATACCCCAGGGTGGCCCAAAGGGATTCTGCCTTTAAAGGCACCCCAGTAGGATGCTCTGGGCTTTGGGGCAGCAGCAAGACATCACCATCACTTCTAATCATCTTCTTTTCCATGCTCTTCCCCTTCAAATCTATATTAGAAAAGCTGTAAGGCTTCCTCACATAGGGCTGCTCTCAAAGCCTGTTGCCTTCTCCATGACAGTGATGGAGGCTCCATGTCAGATAGCTGGTGTTTTCCCAGGGTTTTTGATTTCTCTAGGAGTTATGCTGTGAAACTGTCGGGATGAAGCCCTAAATTCAGAAAAGGAGCTTACAAAAGTTGTGGAAGATAGGTGGTGACATGTATGCACATGTCTGAATTAGGGAGAAAAGAATTCCTACAAATATCTACACTATTGTAGTATCATTCCATGTATGTACCTGTTCATCCATTTCTTACTCAGGCTTCCTTCTCCAGTGCAAATACCTGGTTTTGTCAGTAAAAACTGAGTAAAAATGTAATGGGTTGACCCACATCTCCTACAGAAGAAACCCTGTGCATAATATAAAGCATAAAATAGTAATAGGTTGAGACCTTAGAGCTTCAAGTGAAATATCCCAGCCCACCAATATTCCTGGTTTAAGGCACCAGAGTTAAACAGGAATGAGAAGAAAGCAAGCCTCATTCATACTCTTGGTGTAGTCAGGGCTTCATCCCCATGAATGCAGGAGATGTCAGGTAAGAAGGCCTGTTCTCAGGCTACTGTCCTGTTTCAGAGCTCCATCAAGTCAGTGGAAAGAGTCCTTCTGTGCTTTGGAGAGCAATACCTGTGTCAACAGGTCAGAAAACAGGTTGGAGAAAATTAATATTGCCTTGCTAAAAATAAGTACTTCAATTGTGCTGATAAAAACCCCCAAATCACTACATCTCATTATTTTTATTTCTGCCTTTCCACAGCTCTTATGACTGTCTTCTTGATGACCCTTTCGAACATGACTGGCCCAAGCTTCCTGAACTGCCAGGCATCAATTATTCCATGGATGAACAGTGCCGCTTTGATTTTGGTGTTGGCTACAAAATGTGCACAGCGGTACGTCCAAGGAAGTCCTTGCAAAGACAAAAGGCCAGGCAGCAAGTTGGTGCTTGGTCTTAGTTAAAAGCTGCAGTATATGCATTTTCTCATAACTGAAGAGCACTTAGTGGAGTAGTTTAAACAGATCTAGGAAGAGGAGTGAGATATTTATGGGTGAAACCCAGTCGTATGGGTCATTTGGTTTAACGATCAAGTGGATGGCAGCACAGTCCACGTGACACAGACTTGTGGTAGTGAACCCAAAGAAGAAGGGGAAAAAAAATCTCATTTTTCTCCTATTTCTGGGTGTCTGCTCCTTTCCTCTTCTCACCAGCTTAGAGCTAGAGGATGCAGGGGATAAGCACTGCCCTTCTCTTTCTGAAGATACGTTTGCCCTTCTGTCCCTGAAGATACTCTACTTACCGACAGCTGTGCATGTGAGATGAATTGACTGGGTGGGATGAATCCTTATCTGAAGAATATTAGTAATCTAACACTGAATTTCATCTCATAAATGTCCTGCATTTCAGTTCCGAACCTTTGATCCATGCAAGCAGTTGTGGTGCAGCCATCCAGATAACCCATATTTCTGTAAGACTAAGAAGGGACCTCCACTTGATGGGACTGAATGTGCCCCTGGAAAAGTGAGTGAGGTGTTTTCACTGTGTTTATACTGGAAAGAGCCAATTACATTCATTTTGGTTAAAGGGCACAGAGGAAAACAGGGAATTGCCTGGCATCCTCTGGAGCCAGAGGAAGTAAATCATGGACATAGAAACTCCAATTGAGCTGTAACCCTCAGCCTCTTCTGTGGCCTTTTTGTTATCTTTTTTTTTTATTCTTGTCTCATCTGCAAAGTGTACATAAAGTGTCTTTATGAATCCATGGTAGCAGATAACGCCATCACTGTAGGACCACTTCTTAAAGCCTGTGGTCCAGACATCCTGTGGCTACATGTTTGTGTAGGCTTAGGATTAGTTCTTTATGTTTCTCTTTTAATATGCCCATTAGTGGGTGTTCTGCTGCTAATTTATTTTTAATTATAAAATTACACTCAGATAAATGTTTGTTTAGCAAACTCCATGTATTCTGAGATACAGGAGAGCCACTCAGACCATCTGAATGTGCCCTTGCCAGCAGCAAAACAACATCCTGCCCAGTGACTAGCCCTCTGTTCCAGTCTGCTGGATAAGTGTGATATTTGGCCAGTATGAGGAAAAAAAAAGAAAAAAGAAAGAAATCAGCTAATCCTCAGCAAAACCTTTATCCTGCTAATATTCAGAACACTAAAATCCCTTCCAAAAAGTGGTAGTGACTGAGAGTCAGATAAAACAAAGACCTGAGGAGGGTGGAACATGTTGAGCTTCGCACGCCTGCCCATGGCAGGGTTCAGGCTTGGGTTTATTAGCACTGCCTGCTCATTGATGGAGCAGAAGGCCTTCAGGGAGGGGCCAGAGTACATGGACCCTCATCCCTCTGTCCCCAAGACAGTCTCTTCTTGCAGTTGATTCTCTGAGATGCCCCTTCCCAGCCTATGAGCTCACTGCTGTGTGCTTTAAATGTCACTGCAATTACATATTTGATTTGGGGTTTGCTTCTCTTCTTATCTCGTCTCTTTCTCTTTGCTTGATGTCTGCCAGTGGTGCTATAAAGGTCACTGCATGTGGAAGAACGCTAACCAGCTGAAGCAGGATGGCAACTGGGGACCCTGGACAAAATTTGGCTCCTGCTCCCGGACCTGTGGGACTGGAGTTCGCTTTAGGACTCGCCAGTGCAACAATCCAATGTAGGTCCTCTGGCTTCGTGGCAGGTCCAGTGAGGGGGCAGTCATTACAGGTGGCAGTTTAAATGGCATTTACATTGTGGATGGAGTCTGCCCAAATTCATATTCTGTTCAAGCCCCTTGAAATGGACCTTTCTGCAGGGAGCCAGGATCATTTTGGGTGAATCCAAGAACTTCCAGAGGAAAGACTGCAGAAAACCATCCCAAAGATTTAGCTGATACGTAAGAGAGTGAAGAGTACATGGTGTGTGAGCTCAGCAAGCTGCAGGACCAACTTAGTTAACCTCTAGCTGTAAATTAACTATTATTGATAGCATAGATGTGCATACATGTCACTGGTGCATTTGAGTGTGTGCCTTGGGGATGCATGGGCACATGCTGAGGTTACACCACAGTGTAACTTCTCTGTTCCCATTCCTGTCTCTTCCGACCCCTTTTTTGTGAGACTGTCTCTTTTAGAGTATGAAGTTTCACCTAAGACAAAAGAAAAATCCCCAGAGCTCATATCCAGAGGGTTTTAGAATGTTTTGAATGTTTTCTCATCACAGGCCCATTAATGGAGGTGAGGATTGTGCTGGCGTCAACTTTGAGTTTCAACTTTGCAATACAGAGGAGTGTCCAAAGCACTTCGAGGACTTCAGAGCGCAGCAATGCCAGCAACGCAATTCCCACTTTGAGTATCAGAGCAGCAAGCACCACTGGCTGCCATACGAGCACCCCGACTGTAAGTTCTGTTATTTGCCGTGATTACAAGTAAGTCCTGGCATCCCCATGAGTCTTGTTCCTGAGCCACGCAGAGAACAAAAATAATTGATGCATGAGCCTTGTATAGGTGAGCAGAAAAACAAAAGCAGAAAGTAGATTAGAAATTAGGCAGAAGTTCTTCCCTCTGAGGGTGGTGAGGCACTGGCATAGGTTGCCCAGAGAAGCTGTGGCTGCCTCATCCCTGGCAGTGTTCATGGCCAGGTTGGACAGGGCTTGGAGCAACCTGGTCTAGTGGAAGGTGTCCCTACCTGTGGCAGGGGCTTGGAACTGATGAGCTGTAAAGCTATCTTCCAACTCGAACCATTCCATGATTCTATGTAAAAAAGATGGCTCCATAAGGAAAGAGTAGAAACAGTTGTAGTTTCCCCACCTTAGGCCAACTAGCTTCCCTTCACTTTCATCCTGCTCTTGGTGAGAACATGGTGTAGCAAGAGGCTTGAAGCTCACAGCTCCTGTTGGACTAGCTAGTAGATGCCCATTGCATGCAACATGCTGCACTGCCCAGATCCAGCTCTCTGCCACTGGGGCAAAGCTTGGAAAGCTGCTGGTTGGGTCTCTTACCCTCTCTTCAGTACAACTCTTCATCTTGCACTTGAGTGCAATGTGTCAACATTTTATAGCAGCTGATGAAAGTATTATTAAGAGTGTTTTTCTAAGGGCACTGATTTCTGTGGGAATAGCATCTCAAAGTGGTAGCATATAATTCTCAGCTGGTTTTTTCCCTGTCTACTAAAGGTCCTTTCCAGCTCTCTTAAATTCTCTTCACTCCTTGGGTGGAATATTTTTCTGAAGTACATCTAGATTGCTCTTAGTTTATGCAGTTCCTTCCCTTTCCTTGCTACACAGCTAATAAGAGATGCCACCTGTACTGCCAGTCCAAAGAAACTGGAGGTGTTGCCTATATGAAACAGTTGGCACACGATGGGACTCGCTGTTCCTATAAAGATCCCTACAGCATTTGTGTTCGTGGAGAATGTGTGGTGAGTGATGCTTCCCAAGGTCATCCCTGAGTTGGAGCTGGGCTGTGGCACACAGTGGGTAGAATCAATCACAACAGCTCAGTGTGCAGAGATAAACCTTGCTAATGTTTCTGAATTAAGTATTTGCAGCATCATATTCCTCATTAGGCCTTGAGATTTTAATTAAACTAGAGCAATGGCACAGACCTGGTCCATGGAAACACTCCACTTTTCTTCAACTGATCACTTCCTTTCCCTTTTTTTCACGCTTTGTTTCATGTCAGAAAAGAATTGTGTCTATTCTTTTGTCTTTCACATCTTGATGGGTAGTGAACATAAAGCAATAGTCACCTCCTGTTTATCACATGAAACCCATTATCCAGCACTAGATTTGCAAGTAATTGGTGTTTAAATAAAATAGATCAGCGCTGGGTGGTTAATTCCCTCTTTGCATTAATTTTGGGATTGCTTCCCACCATAGCTAAAACTGACAACCAGTGACAAAACCTTCTTTGATTTTTTGTGGTTTTTTTGCTCTTCCTTCCGCAGAAAGTGGGTTGTGACAAGGAAATTGGTTCCAATAAGGTTGAAGATAAGTGCGGCGTCTGCGGCGGGGATAATTCTCATTGCCGGACTGTGAAGAGAACTTTCACCCGCACTCCCAAAAAGCTTGGTAGGAATAGCCTTTTCCTGCATCTGGATACAGTTTTGGTGTGTCTGTCATACTTACTGTCTTTGCAGACCTGCTTTTAGGTAGCAAAACACAAGCTGTAAGCTGATGTGCAAAACCAGCTTAGTCCCTGATAAAGAAATGCTGTCTTTAAAATGACAGGACAGTATTTCTGTCCTTTAAAGGAACTGTTAGGAGAAAGCTTCATCAGTCTCAGTGTATGGAGAAATACTCACCATGCAGAGCATGTTTAGTTCTTCTTTTGAAGTTTTGAAGCCCAACTAGACCATGTTTGTGATGAGTAAGGATACACAGATTTTTGCTAAACAATAATGAGCAGTGAAATGCAGAAAACATCATCTGACACTACAGCCTCTGTCTGTAGGAGGACTAAAGGAAACATTTTGTTGTGAATATTTCTATTTTAAGGCTTTCCTGTATTGCTTTTTATTGTTTTCCAGTCTAAGGAAGCTACTCAGGGAAATGTATCTTCTGTATGGCTGGGAGCAGGTATTTCAGGAGACAGGAGAGAAAGGCTAAGGGCAAGATGATAACACCAGTATCTGCATTAATGGTTTAGATGTTGGTTAATTGCTGCCGTGAAGCATTAATAATTAAATTTAGACAGCAAGCAGCTAAATTAAACTTGGACCAAGATAAGTTAGTGTGCAACTGGAAATGAAATACATAAAATATGCTGCTGAAATTCTTATTAATTATTACAAACCAATTGGAAAAAAATACTGATTGTAATGTTCAGATTTACTGATTGTACTTATAAAATTACAGCAGAGAGCCTTTCGGAAAAGGATAATTCCCTGGAGGCTGGTGGACTGGACACAGAATAATGCAAGAATTATTCAGACTTGGGGAGTTATGCACTTAAGAGTGTAACTTATGCCTCATAGTGAGGCTCAAGACTAAAACAGCTGGGCAGAGTGCTGTTAATCAGCCACTTAGTTGCAAATTATTATGGAAGTGATAGTGTTTATGAAATGTTTATTGTTTTACCATAACTTTGGCAATCTAGTCGTTAAAAAAGACTAATTGACCTCTTCCAACAGGAAAACATTTAAGCAAGAGGTGCCAAAAAGAATTCAAGTTTCTGGAAAATGAAATCTGCAAGTATCCAACTTAAAATCACCTACCTGAATTTTGACTGGTCTGGCCTTCATTGACTATTAATGTTTGCTGGATGTGTCTAGTTCTGCTTAAAACTCATTTGAATACACAATGTCACTTATACTTTACACTTGGAAAGACCATCTGGCTGAGAAACATAGTCAATGAAACCACAAGCCTTGGCTCCCATAGCACTAATTACAGGCATTCTGTTTAAGGGAAGACAAGAGGAGCATTTACATTGCCTAAAGGAGCTCACAATATTTCCCTCTCTGAAACAAGAGTATAAAAACATGCTGAGTAAGTTTAAAAGGCTTGTAGGATGAGAGGCATCCATGGCAACTCTCGTTCTTGCTGCAGTTCACATCTCTGTTCTGACACTGACAGATAACACCAAATCAGGCAAAAGCTTTATGTTTCATATGCTTAAAGGATGATCAGTGAAAAGATTGGCATGTGCTGTTTGCACAGTCACTCATCAGCCAAGAGCATGATTTTACATTTTCCTAGCTCTTCCTTTTTGTCACTTAGATCTTCCAAGGAGCTGTAGTATGACAGGTGCACAACAAGCTACCAGTGTATTCACTAGTCTCAAGATCCCCAGTATGAAATGGAGCAGAGTAAAAAACAGAAGGGAAATTTGCTCAGCTCTTAAAAAGGGATCTGCAGAGATTTATCACCATTAAATCTGCATTTGGTAAACAGAAAATAATAGAACTATTAAAATATTGTGCACTGAGAGTGCTTGTGATGCTTTTGAGTAAAACTTGATGTAGCAGTACCTTTTGACATATCCCTAGGAGAGATTTTAGTTTTCCTAATGACAGTATTTAATGTTATACTAATAACCAATGGTTTGGACTGATGAATCATTGTAATTTGAAATAAGGATCATGTTCTTTGGGAACAGCTTTTTACTTTTAGCTGTAGAGAGTTGAATTCACTTAAAGAATCAGCAAAGTAATTGATGCATTTTTGTTGTGGTTTAAGCTCAGCCGGCAACCTAGAACCACGCAGCCGCTCACTCACTCCCCCACTTTTTCCTCCCTGCCACTCCCAGAGGGACAGGGAGGAGAATCAAAAGAATGTAACTCCCATGGGTTGAGATAAGAACAGTCCAGTAACTAAGGTATAACACAAACCACTACTGCTGCCACCAATAATAATAATGATGATAAGGGAAATAACAAGGGAAGAGAATACAACCGCTCACCACCTGCTGACTGATACCCATCTAACCCTTCCAGGTAACTGCCCCCAGTTTATACAGTGGGCATGATGTGCTGTGGTATGGAATGCCTCTTTGGCTAGTTTGGGTCAGGTGTCCTGTCTCTGCTTCCTCCCGGCTTCCTGTGCCCCTCCTCCCTGGCAGAGCATGAGACTCAGAAAGTCCTTGATCAGAGTAAGCATTACTGAGTACCAACTAAAAACATCAGTGTTATCAGCATTGTTCTCAGGCTGAGAATCAAAAACACAGCACTGCACCAGCTACTAAGAAGGAGAAAAATGACTGCTACTGCTGAACCCAGGACAATTTTACATTCACAGTTGTAAATAACTTGTGTTGGCTTCCATACAGACGAGCCTTTTCTGATGTGTAGGGGCAACACACTTCATGCTACACCCTCCATGCTACACCCTCCTCCCTCCACTCTTTGATGTCTCAGAAGTAAGCAGACACACTTCAGACATTAACATCTAATAATATGTCAATAAGTCAGTTCCACTCTAACAGCCTGGCTGATGAGTGATTTGGAAAAAATAAACAGGAGGACTTGTGTTTTTCACCTTGTGTGCTGAGAAAGCATAGGAAACATTTTTGCCTAACTTGTTGGTTGACGCAGCCTATAGCAGTGTAGCTAGTCAAGTGACAAATAGATTTGTAACTGGTTTCTCCCTCTGAAAGAGGAAAAACACAAGGAAGTCCTGCCAAACAGGTTACAAAACTATTTGCTCTGTTTCTTTCTGACACTGCTTCTCATTTGGTGATGGATGCCCTCTTCTGCAAGTAGAATCTGGGTCACGTAGCACACTCCTAACCATAGCTGTCACTTTTTCTTTCCGTCTCTGCTTTCTCCATTGACTACTACACATGCCAAAGGGTACCTAAAGATGTTTGACATCCCTCCCGGTGCTCGACATGTGTTTATCCAAGAAGACGAGGCTTCTCCTCATTTTCTTGGTAAGTGTTTGTCTCCTCGGGGTTGGCTTTGAGGCATGATGAGAAGCACAGGGCAGTCATACAGAAGAGCTTGAGCAATGAGATAATCAGATTCAAGTATTCTGGGTAAATACATACACTCAGAATTGCATGTTAAGGACTGCATTCTACAGCATCAGCTCAGCAAGCAAAAATTTACCTGTCATTTGAATCCTTTGAAATATTAAACTGATCCCAGTTTTCATGTTTACTAACAAAAGGTTGTCATCACTCACATTTAAATGGGCACTTCCAGGGTAAAAGTTCTGTTTACTGATATGTGAATCAAAATTGATATCTGTAATTATTCTTATTTGCTGCAGATTGTAAGCAACAGCTGGTTTAATGAAATGAAGATTGAGGAACTTCTGCTATATTTGCAGTCTATTTATTTATTTTTTTCTCACGTAGGATGGTTCATAGTGTTGTCAATCAGTTTGTATCTTACTACTTACCATTTCCTAATTCTTAAGGGAGAAGAGTGAGATCTTCCATGGTAATGGTCTTTTAATCAGCTGTCCATGTGCTAGGGCAATGTCTTTTGTAAACCCTTCAGGCAGAGTTGGATTAGTAACTAAAAATAATTAAGAATAGAAAAGAAAAGAGGGAAAATTAAAAAAAAAGAAAAATAAAGAAATTTTGATGTTGAGATCCAAGTGCGGCATTTTGGACCAAGCATAGCCTGATAGTAACTTTCAGAGAAGCATAGCTTTGCTTTGGCAGTAAGTGGCTTCGTGAAGCTATTCACCAGGTACTCACAGCTCCTGCATTTGGATTATGATAATCATAGGAACTTGTAAGATTTCTGCATAGTTTGTCTTCTCATGTTTTATGATGCATTGGTAAGAATTGTACAAAAGAAAAAATAAGAGTCTGTCTTTCACATATCTTATGTATTGGCTTCTGATTGGAGCATAACACTACTACTACTACTAATCATTATCATCATCATCCCCACACTACCTAATTTTCAAGGTGTGGTCTAGGAACCCAAAACCACATAGTTTCCCAGCAGTTCCAATGCCTCAGCTCTTTACTTACTGATTTTAGCATCTGGTACACATATATGTATACAAAAGAAACTACAACATGATGAAGCTGTCATTTTCATAAACTGAGGAAAATAAGAAATGTACTTGGAGTCTGCTGAGTGTCTGTTATACTACTGCACATTGCGGGTAATACTGATTTTGGTCTTGGGCAAATAAGGAAGGCAGGTGATCGTGAAGATTTGACCTGAGTTCCTTGCTACTACCCATGCTTCTCAGGAGCTAAGCTAGTATGGGAAATGTGAACATTACATGGGAAGAGGTGCTTCAGTCTAGCTCTAGCTCTAGATCTGTGTCTAATTCACATGGATAAGGAGATACAGAATTGAAGCAAACACACAAAAACATCTGTTATCAAACGGGGATTTGAAGGCTGCATGAGACAGCCTTGGGGGGCCTTTCTCTGAGCCAGGACATCTATAGCAGTTCATAGAATTACAGAGTGGTTTGTGTTGGAAGGGACCTTAAAGCTTATCTAGTTCCTATCCCCCTGCCACAGGCAAGGACACCTTCCACTAGACCAGCTTGCTCAAAGTCCAGACCTGGCTTGCTAGCACATTGGGGTATTTTTGCACAAGTCCTGCTGTAATATCTCCTGTCAAGTTTCACATAAGGGCCCATGATGACTTGTTCGGGAGGCATGACTGGCCCTGTTTTCAATCCTTTTAGCAATTAAGAACCAGGCTACAGGACACTACATTCTGAACGGGAAAGGGGAGGAGGCCAGATCCCGATCTTTCATCGACCTGGGTGTGGAGTGGGAGTACAACATCGAAGATGACATTGAGACTGTCCACACTGATGGGCCCTTGCATGATGCGGTGGTTGTGCTGGTAGGTTACATATTACAGAGTGAGAATATGGTGGGTTTGTCTTCTATAAAAAGTGGGTGGCCAGCATGGAGTTTGTGCTGAGACAAATCTCTGTGGTGTGATGACTTCCTGAAGAGTGCATGCAAGGAGGTGGCTAATACCCTGAAGCCTTTTCCCATGAGTTGTTACCCTCATCTAAACTGCTGCCTGTTCGTGCAGTGGTAGCATGTCAGCAGCAGCCAAACATATTGCATTGTTGGACATCACTGGGATGCTTTCAGTGGACTGAAAAAGGACGTTGCATGTCAAACCCTCTCTGAGACCAGCCCTGCTCTGTTGGCAGATAATGATGGGGCTACACCACCCTTTCACAGAATCATAAAATCACAGAAGGGTTTGGGTTGGAAGGGACCTTAAAGCTCATCCAGTTCCAAACCCCTGCTACAGGCAGGGACACCTTCCACTAGACCAAGTTGCTCCAAGACCTGGACCTGTCCAGCCTGCCCTTGAACACTGCCAGGGGTGGGGCAGCCACAGCTTCTCTGGGCAACCTGTGCCAGGGCCTCACCACCCTCACAGAGAACAACCTCTTCCACAGGTCTCATCTCGATTTCCCCTCTGTTAGGTTAAAGCCATTCCCCCTAGTCCTGTCCCTGCAAGCTGTTGTCCAAAGCCTCTGTCCAGGTTTCTTGTAGCCTCTTTAGGCACTGGAAACTGCTCTAGGGTCTCCCTGGTGCCTACTCTTCTCTAGGCTGAAGAAACCCAGCTCTCGCAACCTGCCTTCAGAGCAGAGGTGCTCCAGCCCTAGGATCATTTTTGTGGCCCTCCTTTCATCCTGGATAATGCTCTCCCACTTGACCAGCTTAGAACTCTAGCCTAGAAATGTGTCTCGTTTTAAATGGCTCTATGTTGATCTTACTTTTGTTAGTTCTAACTGTCAAGACAAACCCCAATTTTGCTTCCCCAGTGAGTTAACTAGCAGTTTTCATGTTTCCCCAAAAAGCCAGGCCTCGCTTTCTTTATTTTGCAGAGGAATAAATAATAGCTCTGGTTTTGTACCACTGTTTACTTTTGGTTATTAATAGATCATTCCTCGGGAGAATGACACAAGATCCAGCCTGACTTACAAGTACATCATTCATGAGGACTCGGTACCAACTATCAACAGCAACAATGTCCTTCAGGAAGAAGATACTTTTGAGTGGGCATTGAAGAGTTGGTCACAGTGCTCCAAACCCTGTGGTGGAGGTAAACAGATGGTTTAGCACCTTCTGGTCATGAATGACCAGTTACCCAAAGCGGAAAAGTAAAAGGTGGGGGAAGCGAATAATTTACAACTCTTGGCCTTCCATTTCTTTAAAAGTAGTTTGTTATTTTGCATGCCCCAGCTTAAAATATCTTATTACATAGCTGATAATTGTGTGTCACATTTGCAGTCTAGGAAGAAAAAGTCTTTCTTAGGTGTTTAAATTCAATACCCAAATCTGTTGTGGAAGTACAGACTCAGACATTCATGCTACTGAGGATTCACTTTAGTTATGGCATGTACATCACTCTTGGGTAAAGAATACGGAATGCAAATGTCAAAATAACTTTAATTCTTGCATACATGTCCTGGGTTCAGTGGTAGCAGTCATTTTTCTCCTTAGTAGCTGGTGCAGTGCTGTGTTGAACAGATGATGTGTTGTGGTAGCGAAAGTACTAAAAGGAGACTCGGGTTCATTCCCATGTTAGCTGGTGACCCACTGCTTGATGTTAAGGAGGTAATTTCTCCCCTGCTGTGGTGTGATTTGTGTGTAGTGCAGAGGTTTCTCTAAGGGGTCATAACTGTCCCTTCTGGCCTTAAAGACCTGTTGCAGTGTCATGTTATCAGTTGTCCAGAAACTGATATTTAAGCCATAAATTCTAATGAGGACCTGTTTTTCCTAATTTTTTTTTTCTGAACTATTTTCAGGGTTTCAGTACACCAAATACGGGTGTCGCAGGAAAAGCGATAACAAAATGGTTCATCGCAGCTTCTGTGAAGCCAGCAAAAAGCCCAAGCCCATCCGTAGAATGTGCAACCTGCAGGAATGCACCCAGCCTCTGTAAGTATGCCTTAAGTAAGTACTTAAGGATAGAAATGGTTGCGCTTTGCAGTCGGAAGGTGACCCAGGCCAAATCGGGTAGGTAGGATGCTGATAGCTTTCTAGGCTGGAGTTGCGTTGTGGTTGTTTTTTTCTATGGAAGAAAGGTTATTTATCTTATTGAATGGTTTCATCTCAAAAATATTGTGTACTAATGGCTGCCCAACCTGGCAGCAGTTTGTTGTGGCATCTTCTTCCTTGTTTCTTCCCAGCTGGGCAGCAGATGAGTGGGAGCACTGCACCAAAAGCTGTGGGAATTCTGGGTACCAGCTCCGTACAGTGCGCTGCATCCAGCCCCTTCATGATGGTGTGAACCGCTCCGTCCATTCCAAGTACTGCAGTGGAGACCGCCCCGAGAGCCGCCGGCCATGCAACCGTGTACCATGCCCTGCACAGTGGAAGGCTGGACCCTGGTCTGAGGTATGTGAGCCATGAGCGGGCCTCGCACCTGGGTGAACATCCCATCCATCCCAAGTCAGGTCTGTGCCAGACAGCTTCCAAAAACATGGAAATTTGCAGCAGATAATGCCTTTGAGCTTCATGGGCTTCTATAGCTCTCCAGACTTCTCCAGAAACCAGCAAGGAAAACATTCACAATAGTCAACCATGTCCTCGGCTGCATCCCCAGCAGTGTGAGAAGCAGGTCAAGGGAGGGGATTCTCCCCCTCTACTGTGTTCTGGGGAGACCCCCCACTGCAGCCCTGCATCCAGCCCTGGGGCAGGAACACGAGGGGGACATGGAGCTGTTGGAGCAAGTCCAGAGGAGGCAACGGAGATGCTGTGAGGGCTGGAGCACCTCAGCTCTGGAAACAGGCTGAGAGAGATGGACTTGTTCAGAATCAAGAAGAGAAGGTTCCGGGTAGACCGTAGAGCAGCTTCCAGTGCCTAAAGAGGCTACAAGAAACCTGGAGAGGGGCTTTGGGCAAGGGCCTGCAGGGACAGGACACAGGGGCAATGGCTTTAGCCTGACAGAGGGGAGATTGAGATAAGATCTTCTTAGGAAGAAGTTCTTCCCTGTGAGGGTGGTGAGGTCCTGGCACAGGTTGCCCAGAGAAGCTGTGGCTGCCCCATCCCTGGCTGTGTTCAAGGCCAGGTTGGACGAGGCTTGGAGCAACCTGATCTAGTGAAAGGTGTTCCTGCCTGTGGCAGGGGCTTGGAACTGGATGAGCTTTAAGGTCCCTTTCAACCCAAAACACTCTGTGTATCGTCAGATACACAGTCCTGCAAAAGGAATGCTGGAAGTTTGCTTGTTTTTCTCAAGTTGCCTACTTCTCACTTCCCTGCTTCTGAGGGTCACATAGCATTTTTTACTCACTTCGGCTGTTCTGGAATCAGAGTTTCTGCAAGTGTTGCTACTGTTGTAATGACTTCAGAGCAAACAGCTGAACCCTACAGCTAACTCAGTGAACACTGAGTTTCTCTGCCCTTTGTATTCTCTTTACCTTGTGTTGTCAAGATCAGGGATTGGTTTAGAGGAAGAAAAAGTAGGAAAATTCATAGTATGCTCTAATAATAAATTTAACATTACAGAAAGCAAGAACCAAAGGAAAAATCATCCTCTTTTGCCTTCTTCTTCATAATGTCAGCCTTCACCCAAGTCTCCTTTCGAAACCAATTTCTGGAATGTGCAGCCTGACCTGAAAGCCAACCTTGGGCTATTTCAGACACATGAATTTTTGCACATGGCTGTGAAAGCTCAATATCCTGTCTTGTCTTGTGTTCCATAGTGTTCCGTGACCTGTGGGGAGGGAACTGAGAGCCGGCAGGTCATATGCCGTGCCGGTGATCAGTGCAATGGAGAAAAGCCAGAAGCAGTGAGGGTTTGTAAACTCGCTCCCTGTAATGGTAAGAGAATGTCTCAAAATGATTGTGGGTATTTTATGGGTGGTGGGTAGCAGTTTTATAGGATGAGGGTCACAGACATTCCTGCGTCAGTGCAGCCTGTCAAGAGAGCACAGTGCTGGGTAGAGATGCTAGGCATCCTTTGTTGGAAATTACCCCACTTTTTTTCCGGCTAAAGGCTCCCTGTTGTTTAGTCCAGCACATTACTGATACAGTAGCTGCAGGTGTCCTGTGCTTCTCACACACTTGTTTTGTAAAGATGATAAAATAGGGGGTCAAACACATCAGCCCGAGGTGCATGGGCTGAAATGTTGGTGAAGGTCAATCCAAATTCAACCCTGCTTGACATCTAAATCCCAGGATAAGTTTTGCAAGCCACCAATTGAGGAAATGAAAAAAAAAAACCTTCATAAAAACGGAGGCACAGAGCACTGATAAGGTTCCTGGGAATCTCATTACATTGTTGTCGTAGTGTTTTCTGAACAGATTTTTAAGCTTTTGATGACAACAAAGCCTTTCTTCCTTTGACTGTCTGAGATTTGGGGGTTAGTTGGTTTTTAAATCCCTCATGGTAGTCATCACTAGCTGGTATTAAAAAATAGAGTAAGGATTCTTTGAAGGTGCAACGTGCTTTCCCAAAGAGTGATTCTAACTGTTTCCCTAAGTCTGGTCAAGGTGTCTGCTTTTGCTCTTGTTTTCTGCCAGTGAAAGAACTCAGGCAGAAAACAATTCTAAAAAGTTATAGAATGTTTTACCCACTAGGTGGGAGCAAACCACTACCTGTGACTAAACAAGTACAAGATTCAGACCCCTGGTTTTCCCCGTGAAAAATCTGACTTTAAGTGTTGTCAGAACTTTTGACAAGGGCGGGTAGGGACAGGACAAGGGGAATGGCTTTAAAGTAGCAGAGGAGAAATTTAGTTTAGATGTAAGGAAGAAGTTCTTCCTCTTGCAGGTGCTGAGGCCCTGGCACAGGTTGCCCAGAGAAGCTGTGGCTGCCCCATCCCTGTCCAGAGTTCAAGGCCAGGTTGGACAGGGCTTGGAGCAACCTGCTCTAGTGAAAGGTGTCCTTGCCTTTGTATTATTCATGCGAAATTCCTGCTGAAAATTGTCAGCAATGAGTATGTCCCTGTGCAAAGCTGTGGATTTAATGCTAAGCTTGCAAGAACCACCAAACATCTATCCAAGGAAGCACATCAAGGTTAGAAGCAAGGGTAATTTTTATATGACTTGCCAGTCATATAATTTGCTATTTCTAAAGAAGATCCTACAACCCCAGTAATGTATGCGTAGAGTTCAACTGAGTTCAGTGGAATTAAAACTGATTGACACTGACGGAGAGGTTGGGCTCCAGTTAATACAGGAAAACAGGAAAACTTGGTCGCCTCACATAGTGTTGACATGTGTGAGGCAGCATTTGTACACAGGTGACAAAATACCACAGTACAGAAAGCAAATTTAATTTCAGAGCTGAATAAGCCGTGTCACATGCCATCTGTTGCTCAGTGAGATGTTGACTACATAACTGCTAACAGTGAATGGAAGCAAACTTGGAACAGAGTTTCTCAATAGCTGGGGTTAACTTTTGGCTTTCCACATTAGAATTTTGCATACTATATTGTAAGTGAAATCCATCAACAGCATTTCAAGCCAGCCATGTTATCTGGGAAAAACTCTGCTAGTGAAAGCTCTTTGCTGGTCTCTCACAGGGAGACATGTTTGGGTAAAACCCGACACTGCAGCACATAGCCTGTTTGAGGGTCCTTGGAGAGGTCTGTGGGAAGGGAATTACTGATTTTAAAACAGGAAGATGCTCTTCTGTTTGGTGTTGACCCTGCTGCAGGCCTGGACAAGGTGGCCTTCTGAGAGGCCTTCCTTCGTCACTCAGTTCGGCATTCATGCTGCCAAGGTGCACAGTATTCCGAACTGCATCGATAAATAACAGCCTAAATGAGCAGTAGGATGAGTTAGCGTCAAGGAGGAGAATAAAAAGGAAGTATTAAACGTCCTAATTGTAAAATATGCAGCTCATTTCAAATGCCCAGAGCCAACCTTCCAGGTTCCTCCATGCTGCGACACAGCTCTGCTCACATACTAACTGAGAATTGGACTTGTTTTCTGTGAAATGAGAGTGAAGTTTAAATTTCAGCTCACATTCCCATACAGAATACCAAACTGCCCAGAGTATGGGGTACTGACTGTGTATGGACTGACTGTACCTTGGTACTTTTCTCCATTTGTGGAACAAGTGTCCAGCAAATGCCTAAAGAAATGTTGACATTTTGGGGATCTCTGACAGATCTTGGACCTATGAAAGATCTTTTCCCTGACTGAAAGCAATGCCATACACTTAACTTCAAGGCATCGTGCATCTCCCCTATCTGTTAAGATCTTTCCTTCGCTTCTCCAGTCACTGAAAAACTCAGACTATGCAAACAAGCTTTATCCAACTATGACATTTTAAGACATCATCTAAAAGGCATCTTTGAGAGATACTTCTTGGGATTTACTTCTTTAGGGGATGATTTAATTGTTTTGAATGCTATTGCTAGGTATGTTCTAAGGCTAGAGGTGACCTGGGGGTGGGTAGAACTATATCTGGCCTGGTATGTGGGAACTAGTAGGTCAGCACTGGAAATTGTCTGTAGCCCAAATATAATATGCCTTTCCACAACTCTTCGCTTCTGATCTGTGCGGAACCTGATGTTTTCCAAGTGATGACCAATTTCTTTGGTTCCAAACTAGGGTTAGTTTTGAGGGTGGTTCAGGGCATGAAGCATCTCAGATTGTCTGTTTAGAGCAGACTATCATTTGTGAAACATGCTGTTGGAGAATTTCAGTGCCCTTCACTAGATCTGCCATCAACATGACATTTGTTTTGCAGATGAGCCTTGCCTGGGAGACAAATCCATCTTCTGTCAGATGGAGGTGCTTGCACGATACTGTTCCATCCCTGGCTACAACAAGCTGTGCTGTGAGTCCTGTGGTAAACGCAGCAGCACCCTCCCACCACCAATCCTCACTGAAGTTGCTGCAACTGAAGAGGAAGCAACATTTGATCAGGGCCACCTGCCTGGGGCATTGATGATGCCAACGCTGGTAGTGCCCCACCATGCACAGTTCCTGTCTGGAAGGAGCAATCTGGGCAGGCTTCCTTCTGGAGACAAAGATGCCAATCCACACATCTCCCCATCCAACACCAAGCCCAGTGGGGCTGAGTTCCCGCAATGGAAAGTCCCTCCAGCAAAGAAGACTTCTAGGCTGTTGGCTTTGCTGCACCAGTTACCTGCCAACAGCAGCAGTCTCAGTCCTCACCATGCCCTTGGGTTGGCAGCGGCCATTCCTGCTGTGGCAGCTAATAACACCATAGCAGGGGCTCCTTCTCTATCAAGAACCTCAAGGAAGAGTGCAAAGCATATTGAGAAAAGATGGCCTTCAAGGTCCTCCACTGTGGAACGATGAATCTGAATGCCTCAGAAGGATAGCATTGGAAAGGCGCTTGGTTTGGTGCTTTGGGTTTCATTTCCTTACTTCTAGACACTATGGTGCATGCTGCTTTCCACAAGCAAGACACTGCAGGTCATCAACTCATTTTCCTTGTAAATACAAAGAACGAGAAGTGCTGGTTCACTTTCTAGTTGCTCCTCCTGTTCTTCTCCCATCCTGCATTACCTGGCTGGATTGAACACATTGGAGGAATGCACCAAAGGATACTTCTCATGGTGAGCAGATGTTGCTGAGAGCATCAGTCAAGCTCTAGTACAGAAAAGCAGCCCTGACCTCAGGGTTCTAAACACTCCCATATAGAAAAGGCCCTACCACAAGAGGTACCAGATGTTTACACTCTACAAAATACTTTTGCAATGGAACAAGGGAATCTGTAAGACTTGTTTTGCTAATTTATCTGTAGGGACGGATCTTGTACGAGCAACTTTGCACCGTTGTGTAAATCCTGTATATTACAGAAAAGCAGTATTATTTTTAAGAGGTTTGTGCGGTCAGACAACTGTTGATCTATGTTGCATTCTAGACAAGTGCTAGGTGCCTGCCACTGAGTGCTGCCTTATTGCCATTCCAGGAGCTGATGTGTAAAGCAGCATTGTCATGAAAGGAGGAGTTCCATTTTCAGATTAATTATATCTCCTGACACTAGGAAAAGGTGTTTACGAACAGTGTGATGCTTTCTTTTGAAACTGGGGAAAATGCATGAACCTAAAGGTTTACTTCTAGCCCATGAAAAGTAGGTTTAGAAACTTTAGTGTAATTCCAGTCACAGGTTGGAAAAAGCATTTTATGTGCCTGCGAGATGAGCACTGACCTGGCATCGCCTCGGTGTCAGGGCAGTGGTGCTGTCCTGTAGGTCTCCCTTTCCTGAAGGGGTCGGACTGGAGTAGGAAGAAGCCATGTAAATACTGTAAGTACTGTGGTGTTCACCAGTCAAACATGAGTTCTGTTCTCCAGCTGATCTCTTTGTAATTTCTGAAGCTGAAAAAGCATCACAGAGCTAGAATAGGCACTAGCAAGAAATAGCTGTGAGAAGAAATCAGATTTATTACTGTTTTTCCAACTGGAAGCATTGATTTCAAGGTGAGAGAGGTATTTATTTTTCAGTAGGGTTCACCTCAAAGCTCCACAACCACAATGCATCTGACTGCAAGAACGTGCTAGTACTTTATGTCAATACCCATCTTGTTCACAGTCCACCCAATCACACTCTCTCTTGTGTGTTGCTGTAAAGTACTTGTATATAGGATTGAGAACTAAAGATATTTATTAAAAGTGGATTTCTTGATAGTATTTTATGTACTAAATATTTACACTAAGGGCAATTGCCTATTCTTTTTTGCTAAGATAAAACAGAGATGTGTAATTAGCCATGTGTACATCTTATGTCATATGGATAGAACAGAAATTTAAGCTAACTAAACTACTGTAGAGAAATCGTTGATCTTCTGCTTTAAAAATAAGTAAGTCTTATGACAGCTTTTTTATTCCAAGCATCTTTAATTTCTGAACAGGTTATTAAAGTTTCATGTGCAATTTTTGCTTCCCCATAAAGAGCCCTCATGTTCCACCCATTTAAAATGCCAATGAGTATGTCCCCCTAAAATGTTATCAAGTGGATCAGGACCCCAGAGATGACATTATAGAAACATCAGTAGTGATTATGCAGAGTTGCCAGGAAGCAATAAGGATGAAAATTGTGGAAAATGAAGGATGAAGACTTTCAAAGTAAAGGAGAATATCGGTAGGTTGATGCTGTTGGCGGAAGCCCAGGGTCATAGCGTACATCATGCAGTATGCCATCTAACCTACCAAAGTACTGACACCCCTACAGAACTGCTGCTGCCTTTCAACAGGACTTTTGAAGGGCCAAGAAATCAGCTTTAAGCAGATGGTGCAGAGCCTCAAACAGAAACAGAAATGTTTCTGTTTCTTTACAATTCCCCCAAAGGCAAATTCTCTTTTCTCTGTCTTTTACTCGTACACAGTTTGGGTGTAGATAATCCTTGTACCTCTTGGATTTCTTTTCTACCTAGCTAATTTCTCTTTCTGTCAAATGTACACTACTGACTGACACTGTTTGTTGTATGGGGAGCACGTAACAATAAAATCTTTCACATAGGATGACTTTCTCTGGTCTGATTCACATGGGAGGATCCAGCTTCTGCGTTTTCAAGCTGTGTCTTCTGCAAAATGAAGGGCTGTTTATATCCCAGGCATGACTGTTGCAGCCTGGGGGAGGACAGAAGAATTCCACACAGTTCTGTCAAGTAAACCCCCTCTTTTGCCCCCTTTTTTTTTAACAAAACCCAGAAAATTAATACTGAGAAGATACAACATAAATTTCCAACCCATTGCATTGACAAAAGAAGTTTGTATCACTCAGTTTGGCTTCAGGTCTCAGATGAACTTCTGCTATACAATATTCCTGTACCTATCCTTGTTCATGCTACATTCAGGCTGAGAGAGCTGGGCTTGTCTGGTCTGGAGAAGAGGAGGCTCCAGGGAGACCTTAGGGCAGCTTCCAGTGCCTAAAGGGGCTACAAGAAACCTGGAGAGGGGTTTTTGAGACAGGCCTGTAGGGACAGGACAAGGGGGAATGGCTTTAAACTGACAGTCTAAACCAGTATGTGATTCTGCCAAAAATTACATCCTCTATGTTCTTGACAGTTTTGAGCTGGGCAAGTAAATCTGCAGTAAGTGTCCAGTTGAACTCAAATTCTCATCAAGAGCACCAATACTGGTATTTCATAAGCAAGAGTCTTACAGTGCCATTTAAGAGTCACTTGAGAGTGCTAAAAACCAATCTTAATTCCAGCTCAGCATGTGGACTGTTAGGGTACATGGCTTGTAACTGTCAATAACAGCACTTGTAAACCACACTGTTTTTCCACTTCTGGAATGGCAATACCTGGTAGGTGTCTGTTTGAATGGGAAATAGAAACTTGAGCTGCTCTTGCAACTTAAGCGTGTTGCCAGATGAGAGCTTCCTGTTAAATATCTTTGAAAAGACAATTTGAGCCTGGAATCATTGAAATTGTAACCATGGCAGAGACTCCAGCAGCTTTAACCAGCATCTTGGGAAGATCTCTATTGAAATAGAAGTCTTTACTAGGTCTTTCAAAGGCATGAAGGGAGTTTGGTTTAGGTCCTGGATTCAGCAGTAGCAGTCATTTTTCTCCTTAGAAGCTGGTGCAGTGCTGTGGTTTTGACTTTAGTCTAAGAACAACACTGATAACACACTGATGTTTTAAGGTGTTGCCAGGTAACGCTTACCTGTTGAGCACCATTTTAAGAACACAATGCAGCTGTATATAGAATCATAGAATAGTTAGGGTTGGAAAGGACCTTAAGATCATCTAGCTCCAACCCCCCTGCCATATGCAGGGACGCCTCACACTAAACCGTGTCACCCAAGGCACTGTCCAACCTGGCCTTCAACACTGCCAGGGATGGAGCATTCACAACCTCCCTGGGCAACCCATTCCAGTGCCTCACCACCCTCACGAGAGCAGAGGTCTCACGAGAGCAGAGTAGAGGGGCAGGATCTTCTACCTGCTGGTCATACTCCTTTTGATGCAGCCCAGGATACAGTTGGCTTTCTGGGCTGTGAGCGCACACTGAAGCCAGCTCATGTTCATTTTCTCATCAACCAACACCCCTAAGTCCAGGGCTGCTCTGAATCTCTTCTCTGCCCAACCTGTAGCTGTGCCTGGGATTGCTCCAACCCAGGTGTAGGACCTTGCACTTGGCTTGGTTGAACTTCATGAGATTGGCATTGGCCCTCAAGCGTGTCAGGGTCCATCTAGATCCTATCCCTTTCCTCCGGCGTATCAGCTGAACCACACAGCTTGGTGTCATCGGCAAACTTGCTGAGGGCGCACTCTATCCCACTGTCCATGTCAGCGACAAAGATGTTAAACAAGACCAGTCCCAACATTGATCCCTGAGGGACACCACTCGTTACTGGTCTCCAGCCAGACATTGAGCCATTGACCACAACTCTTTGTGTGCGGCCATCCAGCCAGTTCTTTATCCACCGAGTGGTCCATCCATCAAATTGATGTCTCTCCAATTTAGAGACAAGGATCTCGTGTGGGACAGTGCCGAACGCTTTGCACAAGTCCAGGTAGATGACATCAACTGCTCTACCCCATCTGTCAGTTCCATAGCTCCATCATAGAAGGCCACCAAATTGGTCAGGCAGGATTTCCCCTTAGTGAAGCCATGCTGGCTGTCACCAAGCACCTTGTTGATTTTCATGTGCTTTAGCATGCCTTCCAGGGGGATCTGCTCCATGATCCTGCAAGGCACAGAGGTGACACTGACTGGTCTGTAATTCCCTGGGTAATTCCCTGGGTCTGTAATTCCCTGCGAGGCTAACCACAAAGTGCTGGTGTAAGCAGACCAAAGAGAAAAATAATGTTTGTTCCTCGTAGACTGTTTCAAATAGGAAGTTCTGGGAGCAGAATTTATCTTGTGCTTAACCGCTAGGTAGTCATAAAAAGGAACATAGTCTGTAAGAGTTGTGATTGCTTAAGGAATAACATAAATTGCTACATCTAAAGCACATATCAGCTAGAAACAGTAACAAGGAAATGATTACAAAAAGTGGTGGTTGAGTAGCCTGCAGAGGAATATTTGTGTGGTGGGTTTTTATTGGTTGTCATGACACCCTTGTAAATTTAAAGTATATAATCAAGCAGCTTTGTTAAATAAACAATTCTGTACCTCCATGGAGTCTGTGACATCATAAACCACACTTACCCTGCTCAAGGACTTTTTCAGTCTCATGCTCTGCCAGTGCAGAGGGACATGAGAAGCCAGGAGGAAGCAGAGACACAACACCTGACCTAAACCAGCCAAAGGGGTATTCCATACCACAGCACATCATGGCCAGTATAGAAACCAGAGGGAGTTATCCAGAAGGCCCAGATTGCTGCTCTGGTCAGGCTGGGTATTGGTCGGTGGGTGATGAGCGGTTGTATTCTCTTCCCTTGTTATTTCCCTTATCGTTATTATTGGTGGCAGCAGTAGTGATTTGTATTCTACCTTAGTTACTAAACTGTTCTTATCTCAACCCGTGGGAGCTACATTCTTTCAATTCTCCTCCCCATCCCTCTGGGAGCTTTGAGGTGGAAGAAGTGGGGGGGATGAGTGTGTCCGTGACACTAGATAATGGTCCGTGGTGAAAGGTGGAACATACAAAACAAAAGGTACTGTTTGTCTGTGGTAGTTCCTCTCCAGTAGGTCCTGCTTTAAAAATCCCTGGAAAAGTCCCGACCCCCGGAGGCCTTTCTAGATACTGCTGGCCACTTCTTCCGACATAGGCTGGCCGCCTGCATCAGAATGTGTGTGCATTTTCGTTAGTATAAAAGCCCAAGCCTCAAGTGATGCAAGGAGGCAGACCCTTGTACCACCCAGGTCAGCGTTGGCTCCGCGGGGACACCCACTAAGGTTGAGCCTGCCACCCCGCACTGCAGTAAGGATTCTCAGAGCTTTTTTCCTGATCGTCATCACAAGGTCCTTGGGGTTGGTGAGATGACCAAACACCAGAAGTATCCTTTACTGTATCTTTTGTTACCTCTATATTTTCCCTGTATTAATAAACTAGTTGAGAGTTCTCTATTTGTGTCTCGTTTCTCTTATCCGGAATCCTCGAACTCTGGAACAGTGAGTAAGCAGCTGCATGGTTCTGAGTTACCAGCTAGGCTTAAACCACAACAATAACTTGGTATGAATGCAGTGTAAAACAGGTCTGGTTTCTTTTGGGGGCTTCACACTTTCATTCATGTAGGTTTTTTTCCTAATTTTTCCCTCATTCCCTGGAAGAAAGAAAGGCAGCTGCTGCTGCACCAGCAGGAATGAAGAAGGTAAGAGAGCAATTTTGGGTTTTCAGAGCTGGGAAATTAGAGGTACGTGAAAGATCGTGTGCAGGACGAACAAGACTTTAGAAGGATCAATCAGTAAAATCACATGTTATTATTCAAATAAACCCCCATCTGCCAACCCACAGAAGTATCTGCTCTGATTTATTACTTGTCTTTCAGGTTCTGAGCAGTGGGGCTTTGTTGGAATGATTTAGTTTTAGGTGCCTGTGACTGTGCTAACACAGAAGAGAAATCCCCATCCCTATTTATGGAGCATGTTCTGCATAGATGAAGATGATTCCCAGGCTGCCTGGAGAGAGATTACTTTTAGTGACAGAGATTTGTCACAGTAGAGAACTTTCTAAAAAATAAAAAAGGGTGCGGGTGAGGAGGTATTTTGTGTGTTTTGTATTTTGCCCTATTTTTTTCAGTCCATCCAGATGCTGTGCATCTCACTGAGAGACACATGGATTGCCTAGTTTCCTGTGGAGTGAAGGCAGGAACCCCACCCACACACCCCAGGGATGCTTTACAGCACTTGGAGATGACTGCAGTTCCAAAAGGATTTGGCTGTGCTATCACCCAGAAAACTTCCAGCTGGGTGGAACAAGGACTGGAGGGTCCCCAGCATCTGGGACAGGAGAACTGTGGTGTCTGTGCACTGCTGAAGGAGATGCATGAGTAATAACCTTTCTGCTTGTCATTTGGCATTAATTTTATAGGGTTTATGCCATTTCTTTTGGGTAAAACATACAATATTTTAGCCTGTTCTTTTACCCATGTTCCACACGGTGAGGAAACCACAGAACCCCTTTGAAACTGGGCAGGTGCTCAACCCACATGTACACACAGATAACAGAACAGTGATTTACTCTGTAGGGAACAGTCATGGCTCCTCCTTTCCCTCCTCTTAGGGTGACTGCTTTGCACTAAACATGAAACTTGCATGGGTATTGCTGAAATAAAATTATAATAGTATATTTCAATAAATTAATCTCATGTATTTGATGGTACACAGGTCCTGGACCCAAATACCAAAACTATGATCACCCTCAGACGGGTGCAAGATCTCTTGGATTCTAGCATCTATACCAAAGGACTTCATCGTCTCTCCAGAAGAGAGACCTTCCCATGCTCCCCTTGCCCCAGACCATTGCTAAGCTGCTGTAATGAACCGGAGGACGTGACTTTCCATGCTCGGTGTGACAAGGCTCCTCACCATGAAACTCAAGGTGATAGCCATGGGTGTTTTGT